CTGCTCAGAATCAGCTCCAAATTTCACGCAAAAAAACAAACACAATTATTGTGAACCACCGAATCCACAATGTGATGCCTTAAGATCACCTTTCTGTAATTTGTTCCAGTAAACCTTGCGTCTGGATTGCATAATTCGATCGAAAAGATCAACTACAGCTCAAAAATCGGCGCCATTTATCCGTGACAGTAAAAGTGTAGCATTTCAACCGTTTCGTCGCTCGGCAGTGACTGGGCGCTAGCGTCAAATAATATTTAACAACTATTCCACAAGACCGAATGGGCTCTGAGAGACCGAAGAGCCGAATGGGCTATAGCCTCAGAGGCCATGAGGGCGACAGGAATAATTGTTTTAGTAAAATCCAACTGGTTGGTCAAAAATATCCAGACGAAACAACTTTAGCTAGTTAAAGCTGGACTATTATCCTTTTTGGCCTCCAAAAAGCCGGTGATTTTCGCTACTAGTGGGCTATAACACATAGCCTAGTAGTAGCTCAACCAATCAGAACGCAGCATTGATAATAGACCACTAGTTGAATTTTACTAAATAGATTTAGCCAGGGCTAAAAGCGGCGCTATCGATAATATTCAAAGTTTGTTCAAACAAAATATAGAATCGTGTAATGCTAAGCGGCTAAGGCAACGCCGGAGAACGGTGGAAAACAACAATAGGTCTCATAACAAAAAAACAACTTTGCACGTGCAGCACACTTTTTTTGTACATTTCTTTGCCGTTGTTTTGCACGACTACAATGTGAAACTTCCAGAAACTTCTTTGTTACACGTTTTTTGCAGGAAACGTCGTACGTCAGTCTTGGTCACTATTTTTTCACTGCCGCTCATTTTCACCTTGCATTGGTGGCTGCTAGTATTTCTCATTTTGTCACCGCCGCTACAAAGTTTTCATGTTGTTCTTCCAACAAAAAAAATGTCTCCTTTGTATTTTTTCTCGTTCTTTGCTGGCCTGCCGCCTACTTTCTCTTTTTCTCTGTCTTTCTCTTGCTCTGTATTCCAAATTTGTGGACATGACAATTAATCTATTAAGCTTAATACTTTAGACACCACGGATACAGAAACAATCTCCGCTGTCCGTTTTCGTCTTTATTGACTCTTTATAGTTGCCTCTGCTTTACAAAACGCCGGTGGCTATGAGATTTCCCGCCAAAGTAACCTCGAGTTGCATTTGGGTTACCATACCTCGTGATTGAGTTATTTTACATTGGTATGCCTGTGGTGCGGTGTACGGTGTACGGTCACGTGATTACCAGATTTTCCAGGATGGGTAGATTTAACTCACTAGAACAGGGTGATATTCCTTCGTTAAGTCAAATTTCTACGCACCCATCTCCCACTGGCCAGCAAGGTTTACTGGAACGGATTGCAGAACGGTGATCTTGAGGTATCATATTGTGGATTCGGTGGTGCAAAATGAAACTGTGTTTGTTTTTTCGCGTGAAATTTAGAGCTGATTCTGAGCAGCTCTGAAGGTCAATCGAACAATTCTGTCCTACCTTGTCTTTTATTATTGCACTGTCAGGTCAGATGATGTAAAAGCACTCAAATCGCGCTGAAACTTCGCAAAAAACAAAGACAACGACACCGGGTAACAATATTTACACTTTACTGATAACTCGATGGCTTTTAAATCATTTATTTCATCTAAGTTTCATTTCCCATACAAACTCTCATATTACGCTTGGGCCGCCTGTGGTACGTACAGCGACCGATGGAAATATGTTAGTGGTAGCTCTAAATTTGGAGAAAGGTTTCTTTGCCGTAGCCACATATTGGCGTTAATATTTGTCGATTTGGCGAGACAGGCGGTTTGAAGAAGGTTGTGGCATCGATATTACCGAATGATTTATGCAAATGTTGGAAAAAACCAGCGCGAAATTCTGACATCTTTCATCATCGTTTTCAGCTTGTTTACAACTTGCAGCGGCCAATTTTGTACCAGAACTTGATCAGCCTCGATCAGATCTCTCTTAGGAACAATTTCTTTCATTCAGGAATTTAATTTTGACATACAATAGTTCAAGAATGCTAAAACTATCCGTTTTGTTGCTGGTTGGCACATGGTTAGAGACATTCTACACCAGAAATTCAGCGATTTGAGTACTTTTACATCATCTGACGTGACAGTGTAATAATAAGAGACAAGGTCGGATAGAATCGCTCGATCGACCTTCAGAGCTGCTCAGAATCAGCTCCAAATTTCACGCAAAAAAACAAACACAATTATTGTGAACCACCGAATCCACAATGTGATGCCTTAAGATCACCTTTCTGTAATTTGTTCCAGTAAACCTTGCGTCTGGATTGCATAATTCGATCGAAAAGATCAACTACAGCTCAAAAATCGGCGCCATTTATCCGTGACAGTAAAAGTGTAGCATTTCAACCGTTTCGTCGCTCGGCAGTGACTGGGCGCTAGCGTCAAATAATATTTAACAACTATTCCACAAGACCGAATGGGCTCTGAGAGACCGAAGAGCCGAATGGGCTATAGCCTCAGAGGCCATGAGGGCGACAGGAATAATTGTTTTAGTAAAATCCAACTGGTTGGTCAAAAATATCCAGACGAAACAACTTTAGCTAGTTAAAGCTGGACTATTATCCTTTTTGGCCTCCAAAAAGCCGGTGATTTTCGCTACTAGTGGGCTATAACACATAGCCTAGTAGTAGCTCAACCAATCAGAACGCAGCATTGATAATAGACCACTAGTTGAATTTTACTAAATAGATTTAGCCAGGGCTAAAAGCGGCGCTATCGATAATATTCAAAGTTTGTTCAAACAAAATATAGAATCGTGTAATGCTAAGCGGCTAAGGCAACGCCGGAGAACGGTGGAAAACAACAATAGGTCTCATAACAAAAAAACAACTTTGCACGTGCAGCACACTTTTTTTGTACATTTCTTTGCCGTTGTTTTGCACGACTACAATGTGAAACTTCCAGAAACTTCTTTGTTACACGTTTTTTGCAGGAAACGTCGTACGTCAGTCTTGGTCACTATTTTTTCACTGCCGCTCATTTTCACCTTGCATTGGTGGCTGCTAGTATTTCTCATTTTGTCACCGCCGCTACAAAGTTTTCATGTTGTTCTTCCAACAAAAAAAATGTCTCCTTTGTATTTTTTCTCGTTCTTTGCTGGCCTGCCGCCTACTTTCTCTTTTTCTCTGTCTTTCTCTTGCTCTGTATTCCAAATTTGTGGACATGACAATTAATCTATTAAGCTTAATACTTTAGACACCACGGATACAGAAACAATCTCCGCTGTCCGTTTTCGTCTTTATTGACTCTTTATAGTTGCCTCTGCTTTACAAAACGCCGGTGGCTATGAGATTTCCCGCCAAAGTAACCTCGAGTTGCATTTGGGTTACCATACCTCGTGATTGAGTTATTTTACATTGGTATGCCTGTGGTGCGGTGTACGGTGTACGGTCACGTGATTACCAGATTTTCCAGGATGGGTAGATTTAACTCACTAGAACAGGGTGATATTCCTT